AGGGTTTATCCCAATCACTATGAACGTGGCTCCCTCTAGCGTTCAGAAAGGGTACAGTTGCAGTTGCAGCCTGTTGTCATGTCAGTCTTAGCTGAGTTCATGAAGTTCAGCTGATTTCTACAAACGCAATAATTTACTAATGAGACAGTGGCGACACTGAAATAAGAGCTGTTTGTGATCACACCACATTTCCCGCATTGACAGGGACTTGCTGGTGTTTCGAGGATCAGGAGAATCACAAACCAGTGAAACAGTAAAGCAGTGCCAAGAGACATAACCATACAATTCAACAATGTCGTCGATGCGCTCTAAAACATATCGTTTAAGGCTCACACCGCGCACGAACGATTTGCCAGTGCGATGAGAAGTGCGCCATCCGGTGAGCGCTCTCGCAGTATGACGTACGTTCTCCCAACCAATAAAACTGCAGAATGGCAGGGAGCGAGCGTGACCGAAAAAAGTACGGATAGAGCACAGAAGCAAGCGCAACACAAATTTCTGGCCATTCATCCAGTCTAGCGGTCAGTGCAGCGCATACAACTTCCTGTGTGAAGGGGCTACAAGAGTGGTCATGGTGCACAGAAGGCAAAGAGGTCATACAGGGGTCAGAGCTAACTGAGATGAAACTAACTGACCATTACCTGAGAATAAAACAATGATTAAAGGAGAAGTTGGGCGGTGACCAGGTTATACTTTTAGGGCGCATGAGCTGCCATTTCACTGAGTGTGGGAAATGCATGAGAAATTTCCACAGACAAGTTTTTTTTACCACTCTTTGAAAGCAATTTTTATGTTAATTAATGTGTGAATTAATATTGGTAATACTATGTAGGAGTTATTAGATTGTTTTATGATATAGCAGTGAGGATGGTGTTAAATCTTTGTAACGGTTATACATAATAAATGCCAACAGTTCCAGTATGTTCTTACCTTGTCATGTTTTCAGGTCTTGGCTATGGCCTCTGGATCACACTGTGAAGGGATGAAATATGACCAGTATGTAAGAATTATTTCAACTCTTGTCAGCTGTTGCTGTTGTGGCCATCAACCCTTTAACGTTAAACCTAACTTTTCAGAGGAACTATAATAAATATGAAGAAAGAAACTTCCTAAAAATCACCCATAGCGGCCAACGAACTAGTCTGTTTATTTTTTTGTGTACATGATAACGGTATATATATTCAGGATATTAATTATATTCAGTGATCCACATGACCCCCCTGAGCAGCACTGACATGGGTTTCAGAACATTTTTTAGCGGCTGCTGCCATCTCCCGATTTAATTCTGTACTACAGTTGCTGACTGACTGAGCAAATCAGAAAATACAAACAGGCACCTTCAGTTATGTGAAAGGCACAACCTTAAATACTATGAAGCAAAACTGATCATAAAAGCCTGCTTGTTGTTGTCATGCACTAAATGTGCGAATAAACTAAAATAATTTCCACAGGTGTTTCAGCATACCAGAGAAGAGCATTTTCTCTGTGGCTCTCTAATGTTCCAGGTCAGCGTGTCAAGCAGGACTAAAGAGATTCATTAAATGGCAAACAGACAATTTTTTTTGGCCTATTTGAAAGAGTAAATAGGTTGCATATGGATTATGTGTATTTAACTTAGTATGCATAAATAGCATACTAAAGAACCGTTTGGGTTGCGGTGTATAAGCATGACCTTTTAGGTTAGTAAAACAATTCCTTCATAAAAACGTGTATTTTATCTTTACCTTAATTTTAACAATGACAAGTGTAGTGCCACAAATTCCTTTAAATATTCAAACAAATAGAAAAATAAAACAAAAACAAAACAAAAAGCTCGTACTGTAGCCAAAGCATTACGATCAGTAATTTCACAAGTCATTTGCCTAATAAAGTGACAAACGAAACAAAAGAAAACTGTAAAATTTTACAGTAAATTACTGGCAGCATCGGTGATTTCCTGTAACTTTACAAGGACCATACTGTAAACATACTGTTTATTTAAACATCTTTAATTTAATTTATTTATTTATTTACAGGATGATACCCTATTGTTTATTGGAAAAAGCTGTACAATTCTAATGACATTATACTTTTATATATATACATCTATCTGTCTATCTAGATCTAGATCTAGATAGATAGATAGATAGATAGATAGATAGATAGATAGATAGATAGATAGATAGATAGATAGATAGATAGATAGATAGATAGATAGTACTACTGTATTTCACTTTTTTTTCTGAATCTAGACTTCTTTACAGTGATATTCCGTTTTCTGCTTTTACTTTCTTTGCTTACAATAATAACAACAACGGCAAAACTAACAATAACAGTCATTCATATTTTGTAAATAGTTATAGTTGTTAATGATAAAAAAAAAGTTTGTCTTATTGTAAGTACTGTATTATGGTAATTTGTTTATATGCAATTAAAATATCTCATTTCAATAACTGCGCTTGTCACTGACACTGACTGTTTCAAGGCGCAAACCACTTCTCTGACCCATATAAATACAGCGGCTCGTAGCTTGGACCACTGTCTCTTGCGGTCTTTGGTCTCATTCCCTTCAGTGACATGTTGAATGAAATTATTTTCATGCGTTTGATGAATTTTCTGCTTAGACCTTGTTTTATTGTCTTTAGTTGCTCCGACACATGCCTTTCATTCTCTTGGTCAGTTAGCAGTCACTATAAAGAGTAAAGTATAAAGATGTCAGTCATGACTGAAACAAACTAAACCACATCAGAGCACTGATCGAAACTGGAGTCCCAGAATTCAAAATAACCATGTAGTTAATTTGTCATTTGCTGGACTAGTGAGGAGCATTTGACTGTTCCTCCAGAAATAGAACAACCTCCTATTTCGTTTTTTGTTTGAAATGTTTGTTTTTTCTGACTGCATGTTACGTTATGTTAATTTGTATTTAAAAAAAAATAAGAATAATAATGCCAGAATTTTAATCTGTGACTTCCCAATGAAATTTAACCTTGAAGTGATTCATTAGGAGAATGCTTGGATAAAGGAATACGCTTGATGACTCTTATGCTGTCAGCAGTATCACATAAAATCACACCTACCAACACCTCAATATTTGAGATGCAATTTAATACAGTTAACCTTTGCCTTTATCGGGGCTGGACTTGTAAACCCACCAACTTTGAATTACCGATCTCTATATCACATACAACACAGTGTGTGTATTCTTATATACCGAGTGAGTACTACAATCTTAAAAATACAGAAAGTGCCCCATTAGTTTTGCGTTTATAATAAAAAACGTATCAAAATAAAAAACACATATTCAGCACCATGGACAGCAGAGCCGTTAATAAGGTATAAGTAAGAAGAAGCCTTTGCTTTCAGGAAATTTAAAATTATGTAGAAACTTTCCAAATATATATACATATGAACATGTACTTTCATACTAACAATGTGGATTATGTTCGCAATAATGTGATATAAATCGATAATAATGACAGAACGAGACCCACGTGTGGGTAATTAAGCGAGAGTATGGCTGTCTAAAAAAAATCAGGGTGCGTACACTGTCATTAGTCTACGTGAAATATAGTTTATTCACCTTGTCACGTTTTTATGTCTGGAGGTTCTTTTGGTCTGAAGGTTCAGTTTATACCAGAAGAATTGTTGGATTTCTTTTCATGTTTTCATGTTTATGTTTTTGATCGATAAATACCGTTTCATATACCGTCTGCTAAAGTGACTGAATGTCCATCTGGCTGTTCTGTGGGACCTTTTGAATCCTCTGCAAATACCAAACGCAGAAATTTTATTTTAGAATTCCAAAAACTTTCACTTACCACGAGATGGCAGTGCAAGTCAAACCAAAAAGCACTGAAGAAAAATGTAACATTTTGTCACTTCACTGTTGCTCACTGTACGTGGCCTCCTCTCCCTCTTCTTTCTGGCTACTAATTATGTCAGTATTATATTTTACATCAGTGATGCTGTTGTGGCAGCAGTTTAATGCAAAGAAGTCACAACGTATACATAAATTATCCTCAAAATATGAACAACCTTGAAGATGAACTACTTTTTATTAAGCCCAACTTTTCACAATAAATAAAATGTGCAAAAGTCGATATAACATTAAATAAAATAATCTATACTTCGTTCATATTTATGAAACTGAGAAGAAAGCACCCATAACACAGCTGGTGTTCCCTGAGTGTGTCTTTTACTTTTGCTTTCTCGTGGTTTCAAATTTGTGCCTCTGCAAAACTTTAAAGACTACTGTTCTGCTGAGCTCCTGAGAAACAAAACTTACTTTTTAAATCCAACATTTAAAAAAGATCTATACTGTTTCTAGAAAATACGTTGTCTACCCTTTCTTATAGTCATTTAGTATTTAAGACATCACTTCGAAATGGTCCTTTCAAAAATAAATCTCTTTAATGATTAGGGATTATTACAGGCGGGAAGCAACAGTTTAACCATCAGAAAAAACACAAAACAAAATTAAGTGAAAGGTTCAGATATATTGACGTTTTTGGTACAATATAGATATTGCTTATCCATGTGTGTGACGTCAGTCGCATAAGGAAAACGTGAAGTGCTAAAACAAGTCCCCACAACAAAATGATTACTAAAGAAATTGAAAGGTCAAAGTTCATTGGAAAGAAAGATGTGCTTCATAAGCTGCCGTATAAGGAAATGTTATGTTAGAATCACTCCGCCAAGGGCTTAACTTAAATGAAGTGGATTTGGGAGTTTTATTTTAGGAACCACTTTGCCTCTTCTTGTCACATTACACATGGCTTTACGTCCTGATAGACGCTTTGATGATGATGATGATGATGATGATGGAGCTGATGATAATAAGATCCACTGGTGTTGGGATGAAGGTTTAAAACGAATTCCTTCCTGTCACACACGGGAGCTGAGTGGCTGGAATATCGAGACAATCCCACTGTAAACAAACAGGATACAAGAGGTCAAGTAGTCATTTCTTTGGTCAAGCTGTAGATTTATAGAAGCACGCAACCAAAAAAGGAAAGAAAGAAAAAAGAAAAAGGGCCACAACTTTAGAGCATTTCCTTTTAGACAATTTTAGACCTAAAATTGGTTGGCGCTACTTTTGAACAATATTTATTTATTTCTGTCTTTCTTTTCATCTTTTTTCTTTTGAAGTTGTCATATTTTCCATAGCTGCCTTTATCCAAAGGATATAAGAGCAGTTCATGTTTACACTGTTAGGCAGTTGATGATGCAAATTCTAGTGGATTCCTCACTCTAACATCCTAAAGTCACAAATCGTAATAAAACAGATTTTTCACATTGCAAACAATAAGGTATTAAACGCATTTTGAGACAGATTCTGATAAACAAATCAAGTCTGCTGATTTTCCTAATTTTATATTTCTAAAAAGAACTACTTGTAAAAATATATATATATTAATGAATGTTTTTCATTGTATACAAATGTGCCTTTTAGCGTATTTTAACAAAAAAAAAAACGTGTTTACAGACTAATCGATAATGCAATAAAAGCAGGTTTGACATTTTTAGTGAAGTTTATGAATGTGCTTGAAATTTAAAAAAAAAAAGGTTTGTTTTCATAATTAACAGTTTTAATGAGCTGCTGTTATTGTGTATTTAGACCTACATTTGTGTAACACGGGGACCTCTGAAAAGGCTTCTATGCAGACGCTATGGCATGATAATAAAATGTGAAATAACAATGATAGCAATAAATCAGTTAAATGAAACACAAGCCACGATTGAACACCAATATTTTGATGCGTGATAAAAAAATAAAAAAAAAAAGAAATATCAAAAAATATTTTATAGCCTTAAAAACTACTTTTCTGTTCATCTTGCTGCTTTTCAATTTTGATTTTAAATATATTACAAATTGATATGTTTTACGTATAGATTTTTAAATAAACCTGTTCGCATAAAAATACATTGTAAAATCTTGATTTTTCTATGTATTTTTTTATGTGTGTGAAACATGAAAATCTGGTTTTTTGTTTTGTTTTGTTTTTTGTTTTTTAAAAAGAGCGTTGACTTTATCTGTGATAGATAAATGATCAGTTATTCACGGCCTCAAGTGACTCACTGTGGTAAGCAGAGAATATAAAACAGTGTAGGTAATAAAATGCATACCTGAAATGTCAGAATCTCGTGCATTATGGTGCAAATAGCCCTGGTCCAGCGCGTAAGACGTCATTCCCGCATGTACGGCTGAGGAGTTTGGACTGCTTGATCTCACCGACTGCTGTTTGATGTACGATGACACACCAGGTGTACTCCAATGTGAAGCTGCATTTGCATATGGAGACTGACAGTCCAAAGTGCCTATCATCGCTGGGGAGGACTGCAGGGGGCTGCTGCTGCTGTCGGGGCAATAGTCTGAGTTAGAGGCCACCTGACATGCGGCCATATATGACGACCCGGAGCTTGATGACATGTGCGGGAGGTGATGTCCTCCTCCGAGTCCATCGAAGCCACCTGGAACTGTATTACCCATTAAATCTAAGTTGTAGCTGTTATGACATGCTAATGAGCCTGCGGGTGATTGGAAATCAAAGTTCTGGGACAGCATGGATGCACCAAACCCGATCCCATTCATCATCCTGTACATTGGTTTTAAAGCTTGGCATTTCCTCCGGAACCCCCGGGGTCTGCGACGAAACGAGCCCTCCTCAAACATAAACTCACTGCCAGGGTCGATGGTCCAGTAGTGCCCTTTGCCAGGTCTGCCTAGACCCTTGGGTAGTTTTATAAAGCACTCGTTCAGAGACAGGTTATGTCTGACAGAATTTTTCCATCCCTGGTATGATCCCCTGAAGAAAGGGAATCTGGCCTGGAGAAACTGATATATTTCGCTTAAAGTAAGCCTTTTAGTTGGCGAGCTTTGAATAGCCATCACAATTAAGGCAATGTATGAGTAGGGAGGCTTTTCGGGGCGCCTCAAGCCGGAGTTTCCCTTTTTCCCTTTAGCTGATTCATTATGCGCGCTCTCCATCACTGGCTGTGGGCTCAGCACAGATGCCCTTAGAGCACCGGCCGCTGGACTTGCGCGCAGAGGACTGGGTAGATCCAGATGTTGCTGGGAATTCTCAGTCGTCATAGCCGTGCCTCTTTCTGGTTTCATACAACATGCAACTCTCTTTTCCTGTATTTTAAGCACCGTTAAAGGCTTCCTAACGCAGAATTCACGGAGGTCAGTGTCCCGTTGCGATGCTCGGTAAGATTATAACCGTGAAAATCAAGAAACGCAGGCGCTGAGCCTCCTTCCTCTCTCTGCCCATCGCTGGCAATAATCCCATCAGAGAGGGGAAATAAAGCTCCTAGACTTTGCTTGCGCATATCCACCCGGCCAAACACAACTCGACCACCTATCAGTACTTAAATCTCTCTCTGCCCCTCTATTCCCCCAAATCCCTCCAAGAAATCGCCAGGAACTACTCCCTCCCCATCTGGCAAGTATCCAGCCTAGAAGCCGGACACTGCACATTGGAGTAAGACAAATCTCCTCCCACGACTCACTTTCCAAAACACTTCTGTCCACATTTGACAAACCGGTATTTGTCACGACATCATGATGAATGAAGTCTCAGAGTTCGATTAAGATCTAATTATTTCCTTTTACCTCCCTTTACAGCAAACACTGAAGGTGCCCAATTGCAGCTTTAGACTGTAAAGTTGTGCGGGAGAAGCACCGACTCCTGATTTGGTTGGGATCTGTTCAGGGTTAAGGGCTCTGACATGAGAGGCCAGAGCATGTTTTTTCCATCAGAGCGTGCCAACATACCACACACAGCGCCCAAGTGTCAGTTTACCTCTCGGAGCCTGGATTACATCCCTGGAGAAATGAAAGTAGCCACTCTAACAAAAGTCTTTGGAAGGATTCAGATGATAAAATATGAACATGTCGCTATGCAAAGTTCCTTTCTCCTGTGAAACGTTTAGAGCAATTCGAGTGGCTTAAGACGTGAAATAATGTCACCATCAGTGAAGTTAAAAGAACAATCTGCGCAGGCTGTTACCAACACGAAACTCGTGCGTCCAGGATGCACAGCTGCTTTAGAGGAAATTTACTTTCTAGTGTCAGATGTATAGCACAAACTGGAATACCCTTCTTTCTGCTCTGAATTTGAGTTGAGCTCGCATTTGTATAAACCCTTTCCTGAGTATGTGTGGTGACTGAGGCGACAGCTATTTGCAGCGCCAGACAGAAAACATAAATATTGGATGCCCCTATCCGGCAGCAGCGAGCTTCATGAACATGAAAAAGTAAATACTACTATATGATATTTCTTTTGGCAGCATGAAGCAGAAAGAAAGAGGGAAAAAAGAACAATACCAAGTTTATTATTATTATTATTATTATTATTATTATTATTATACAAATATTGGGCAATGCAAGATTTAGAAAATAGTTTCGAGGAGGCGTCAGACGAATACGCCCTCATGAATAGTGCGTTCTATAATTGCACTGGCAGTTAACTATGCTTTTATGAAGTATCTATAATTCCAGTTATAGATATATACACAACAACAGGAAACAGATATCAGCACAACTTTTTTTTATTATTAATTTCACATTTCTCAAAATAAAAAGACATAAAAACAGTCAAAGTGCATATTTTTAACAGGTTTGTTAAAGAAATAAAGTTAATGCTCTGCTCGGTAACATTTCTAACAGAGTGTGAAATTTCAAGTTTGAAAACGCTTTAAGGATAAACTACTACAAAAATAAAAGGGAACCACCATCCCGCCACAGTTATGTCAGATTAAACTAGCGACTAACTCAAGGTGATGATTTTGAGTCACCGAACAGCAAGTCCACATTTCTTTGTGATATTGCAAATTGTCTATGAAAGAAACCCACCACCATAGGGGGTTGATACATGCTGGGCACTGGAGTCCACATGACAGGGTGACTTAACATATAGATATGAGGCAGGTGTGTTTGAATGATAGGTCATTAGTTCAGTGTAGTAGGGCCAGGGGAAGGCAGGAAAGGGAGGCAAACGTTCGTTATTTAAGTCTCTCTTGAACGGCTTGCTGAGGATGCTGTCAATAGCGAATGAACTGGTAAACTTGGGACAGGAATCAGTCTTGGTGCTCGGGGCAGACTGGTGAATGAGCTGCGGCTCCTCTGTGTGCTCGGGCTCCTCTTGTTCCCTGCTGAATTTTTTGTTAATGCGCTTTCTTCTGCGCCGGAATACCCCGTCAGCAAATGTGTATTCGCTGTGAGGATTGAGCATCCAGTAATTGTCCTTTCCCCAGGGTCTGGAAGGGTCCCGGAGCACTTTGAGAAAACAATCATTAAGAGACAGATTATGACGAACCGAGTTCCTCCAGCCGGTGTAAGTGCCTCTGAAGAACGGGAACTTTTTCATCAGATAGTCGTTTATCTCCGCCAAAGTCAGACGTCCACTGGGTGAGTCCCGGATGGCCATAGCGATTAGAGCGATGTATGAAAACGGGGGCTTGGGTCTACGTGTGTATGGCTTGGACTTGCCGCTGCCGCCGCACGGGGTGACAGGTGGAGGACTGTGGGCCACGCAGTCCCCATCCGACCCCAGCTCCTCTTCAGGAGGGAAAGGAGATCGCCCATGACCCTCAGCATCACTGGACATCTCGAAATGCTTCATGTCATAGTGACTCCCACACAGCACCTCCAGCTTCATTGTTAGTGTGCTGCTCGGTAGAATCTGTCCAGCAATAAACCTCGGAGAGCTCTTTGCGTAAAGTCCGAAGCTTCGTGTGAGTCAAGATGCGGAGAGTCTTGGGCTGTATCCAAAGGAGTGTGTCTTCTTAATCATACCTGCCAGAGCGCTGAAGCCCTTCTCACCTTGGGTCCGTGTTAGCGGCACTTTATAGGCGGCTTACCTCAGACCCAACCCAAGGGGGCGGGGCATGTGAGTTTAAAATATTGAGAATATCACAAATACCTTCACATTGCGTTCCAGTGTCTTTAATTAAAAAAAATCATAATGACCATTTAATATAATATTCCGAACATTCCAACCCACACCTCATTCAAAGCCAGTTTAAAAGTCTCACCTGTGAAATGTTAAGGAACACACACTGGGACTATTTTACCTGAGACAACCAGGGGGCGTATATTTCCTTTGCATTTAAGGTGCGGTGCCTACAGGTAGTTTTATTTGTCCCATTCAGGAAGCGCCGTAATCACAGCAAGGGCTATCTGTTTGTGTGTGTGTGTGTGTGTGTGTGTGTGTGTGTGTGTGTGTGTGTGTGTGTGTGTAATTATTTACTTCATCTTTTTTTTTAAACAACCGTTTTATGATGAAAACAATCAACTGCACAATCTTTCCATGCTGGTGTGTAATATTTAAACAACACTCGGGTCTCTGTGCCAGCACTCGTCACACATTCACCTGCTTTCGAGATGTCTCATATCAAAGCTCAGTGTTTAGGTGTGAACTTTTAATGTCATGCCAATTTACCAGCCCACATGGAAACTTGTGTTATTGTGTTTTTGTCACTTAAACAGTGCATCCTGTCCTTCCTGTTGCCCAGAATTCACCTACCAAATGATCATTAATTTTCTGTTTTTGGTAATTGCGTTGAGGTTTTGGAAGGCTTTAGAAATGTCTAAGTCTTGCAATTTCAGCCTGAGGAAATTGCAGTACAATTGCACCAGGTGTATCAATTGAATCATGGAGATAGGAACAAACAAGACAAATTGTTGATTTATATTGTACTCTTGTTGGATGATGCCAGTCATCTTCTCTCAGCTACTCCCCCAGGTCAAACTCTGACTTCTGCTGAACAACCCATCTTTGTGCAACATACCTCCGGGAAAAAAATGCAACCAATTGCCATGACAGGCTGTGCAGCCACAGTGTCATCACATAAACGGAAAAAAATATATATCCTTGTAAAACCACCTGGAACTCGGTGTTGACATTACCCTCATGCTGTCACTGTGCCAAGTACAAAATTATTCAACTGCTGTTTATGCAAACTGTGCGTTCTGTAAGTGTTTGTAGAAGGTAGGCCGAGCATGTTTGTGCTGGTGTGAATGTTTTGATTTTCAGGTAATAATCTGTTTGCGTTGAGTGTGACACAGAACCTGTAGTGAAGTCACTACTTTGAATGGTGGCATGTCAAGGATGGAATTCTGTAAGCTAACCACACAATGACAGCAACTCACATACCACCGTATTCACTCTGCTCAGTGCATGTAGTAGCTTGTGACGCCATGTCTCAATGTGTATATACATGGTGATATGTGTATAAAGCTTTAAATCATTTATTATGGCTTTATAATAAGATAATTAAAAAAAAGTATACAATATCACAAATGGAGTAATTAAAAGTTACATACAAAATCATAGATACATATTTATGTGTGTAACTGTTTCTTATGAAGGAAAGACTGTAAATATTCATTTGATAGTATGGTGTACTTAAAGCCAGTATACTAATGAGCAGTTATAGTAATTCTATGCTACTCCAATATTTCTAAAGGCATGTGTGTGCAGTGTTCATACTTAAACAACATATAATTTTGTAAAAATACACAATAATGCAATAATTTAAAATGGTCTATTTTAAGATGATTAGATAATAAATCTGTTTAATAAGCTTCTTCTTTGTGTGTTTGTGAGTTTAGAATATAAAATTAAATGCATGTAGTGTGAAATATAAATGAATTGCATGAAATTTTATTTATGGTTTTAAAGCCCTTAAACCTGCAAAGCTATAAAATTGAAAAACCTCCAAAGAATGAAGAATGCTTTTCTCTGAACAGCACAGTAATGATAACATTGTTCGCAAGCGTGTTCGTTGAGCAACGGAGACACATTGGCCGTGAAAGCACCATCTTCCTTTGTCAGAAAGTCAACGTTTACTGCCAGCATGGCCCTGATGTTGTTGTTGAAACATAACCTGTTGATATGCTGGAATGAGGAACACGGTAAAGTACATAGCCAGACACTTAGTGACTAATGCCCTGATGGTTGTGAATACTGTGCAGTGATTCACTGGCACCATTTTCAGTTCCAAAACATTCAAGAATTCCAAACTTTTGCCAAAATAATAAAAATGCATGCCAAGATTTTTCAATTCAGTACAATAAAGTCACGCCTATTCACAAGCATGTAGTAGTTTCATGAGAACCCATTTAAGGTAGAGCATACCTGTGTAGCACATGCGATCACTCACAGACTTCATGTGGCCAAATTCTATGAAGTTTAAGTTCAGTCAATCAAAGTGTTGGTTTTGACTCACAGTCACAACCCAATGATTTTCCAAAGAATCGTTTGTTTAATTGTTTGTCAAGGAAAATAGTTTCCCACTCATTTGTCAGTGAGCACACGGAAGAAGTTAAATAGTTTTAGTTGACTGCACGATTAAAAGACAAAACAGCACATGAAGGGCAACAAATGTGTTGTGACTGTAGATTTAACAGCTATGTTGAGCGCTGCTCATTTCTCAGCGATACACCTGCTTCATTTTGCTCAAGCTGCTGAGTCACTAAGAGCTTTTGATTTTTAAACTAAAAAACAATGCACCCTAGTATAAAAAGACATGGGACAATGAAATAATAATAATGGATTGCATTTATACAGTATATTTATATTTTTAGACACTCAAAACGCTTTACAATTCCACTATTCATTCACTCTCACATTGACACACTGGTGGAAGCAAACCACAGTTGTAGCCACAGCTGCCCTGGGGCAGACTGACAGAACCAATATAGCTGCCATATTGTGCCATCGGCCCCTCTGGACAACACCAGTAGGTAGAGTGAAGTGTCTTGCCCAAGGTAACAATGACCTGGACAGACAGAGCTGGGGTTACAAGATGCACTTCCCAACCCCTGAACCATGGTCGCCCAGTAAAAAACAACAGTGAAATGTGCTTTCCTTTGTATATGCATCAAGTAAATATGGCTTCCACTTATAAAAATATGATTGCTTACAGACAGAGTTGTCATGGTTTTCCTTAACTAATATTTATCAGTAGTCTCACTATTGTCTCACATGTCCAGGACAGATAATGACTCATCATTAAAACATATAAGAGAAAAACATTTAAACCCTTCTTAGATTCTCAGTAATCTCAGTGTGTTTGTGTGTGTGTGTGTTTATCCAAACACGTTTTAGTTTTTCAGTGCAAAGCTGCAGATCATTTGTGATGCGTTTGGTAAACAATTAGAAATGTAAGAGCAAAGATCTAAAAGTAAAGGCATCTTCAGAGGTGGAATTAAAATTAAGTGGTTCAAACAAAAATATAATTTCTTATCTATTCCGGGCTTTTTTTAGTGCTATGTGTGGAAACTATGTTTTAATTATCATTGTAGAAAAGTCTGACCTCAAAATATTTCGTCAGTTACTAATTGCTTTATTTTGACAGCTCAGTTTTGAAACCAGCTTG